AAAAGAGCCTTTTATTTCAGGACAGGTTCAAACGGACCTCCTGAATATATAAAAACGACGCGCGTTGGTTCCAACGTTCGTTCAAAGACTTTTCATGATGCTGAGAAATCTCTAAATTACACGCTAAAATTTTTTTGGCTTCTAAGTGTTAGTGGACGAACATGTGATGTAACATTATGGATTTTTCGATGATTTGTGTCTCTAAATGGCGTGAATCAGACTGAGAATCAAGTCAAGCAAAACTACGATTACTCTTGCTTTGTCTATAGCTTTTGTTTACTACAATTTTGCCGGAAAAACTGTTTTGCTCTGTCAAGGATTGTTGTGATTCTCCTAGTTAATTTAGCTCGGACTAAAAACATGGAGAAAAGTTTCAAAATGGAATAAAGTATGAACAAACCCAAGTGAAACAGCGAAAATTTTGCTTTAATACTTTTTGCGTTCAATTTCAGATATATACTGTATATTTCAACAAAACTAGCTTTAATTTCAAGAAATTTGTTCCCTGATTTTAAATTCAATACGTGTACTTCCTGAATTATAATTCCTACATATATAGATCCTGATTTTAATTTTCAACCCTCGCTGTTCTGTAATTTTTATATGGCTTTTTGTTCCGACTTTCGATACGAAAGTAACGGAATATTTGTGCTCGTGGTTGGGTTTTTTTTTCTTCAGACAAATTTCGACCTTTTAACTAGCCATTTTTGACGGAATTTTTTTTATCATTCAAAAGGTATTGTTGTCCTGAGCTCAAATTTGAAAAGATATTTTACCTGTGATCATTTTTCATAAAGTTATGGGGGTTTAAAGATTGTCATTTTGGCCAATTTGCCAATTTGGGACAATTAACGCGCGATATATTTCGCGCTATTAACGCGTAAGCGGAGAGTTAATCCGTCTTAAAATCATTCCAAATTGGTTGAAAGAAGCTTACTTGCCATTTTTGATTTGTTACAAGGAGCGAAATTCATCCTTTTACACTTTACATGGCGTGTGGGGGGATGATTTTAATTTAAAAAAATTTTAATAAAAAAAATAATAATTTCATTTTTTTTTACATTTAATTTTTTAATGTTATTACTGATCCATAAAGCTTTAAAAGGCAGTCGGAACATTCAGGGCTTCACCCTGATACGAGCAGTCTTGTATTATGTTTATTTTCAACAGCTGCATTTGAGCTTCAGTTTGCCTCAAGCTCAGTATCAGAAAATTTAATGTAACTAATCAATTTTACCATAACTACCCAACAGACAAAGTGAAAGCTATTTAGATATAGGCTGATAAGTTATTTTGAGTTATAAGATAATGTAAGAGTTATAAAAGATGCAGTTTGTTGAAATTACAACGTTACTGTTGAAATATAATGGTAGGATTGTTGAAATCAAAAGTCATTTAGCAGCCTTGTTGTTTCAACTTTCGAAGAAAGTGACGGAATATTTGTGCTCGGGGTGTTTTTTTTCTCAATACAAGTTTCCACTCTTTAACTAGTCATTGCGGATTTTTTTAACGTCATTCAAATAGTATTGTTGTCCTGAGCTCAAATTTGAAAAGATATTTTTACCTGTGATCATTTTTCATAAAGTTATGGGGGTTTAAAGATTGCCATTTTGGCCAATTTGCCAATTTGGGACAATTAACGCGCGATATATTTCGCGCTATTAACGCGTAAGCGGAGAGTTAATCCGTCTTAAAATCATTCCAAATTTGTTGAAAGAAGCTTACTTGCCATTTTTGATTTGTTACAAGGAGCGAAATTCATCCTTTTACACTTTACATGGCGTGTGGGGGGATGATTTTTATTTAAAAAAATTTTAATTAAAAAAAATAATAATTTCATTTTTTTTACATTTAATTTTTTAATGTTATTACTGATCCATAAAGCTTTAAAAGGCAGTCGGAACATTCAGGGCTTCACCCTGATACGAGCAGTCTTGTCTTATGTTTATTTTCAACAGCTGCATTTGAGCTTCAGTTTGCCTCAAGCTCAGTATCAGAAAATTTAATGTAACTAATCAATTTTACCATAACTACCCAACAGACAAAGTGAAAGCTATTTAGATATAGGCTGATAAGTTATTTTGAGTTATAAGATAATGTTAGAGTTATAAAAGATGCAGTTTGTTGAAATTACAACGTTACTGTTGAAATATAATGGTAGGATTGTTGAAATCAAAAGTCATTTAGCAGCCTTGTTGTTTCAACTTTCGAAGAAAGTGACGGAATATTTGTGCTCGGGGTGTTTTTTTTCTCAATACAAGTTTCCACTCTTTAACTAGTCATTGCGGATTTTTTTAACGTCATTCAAATAGTATTGTTGTCCTTAGCTCAAATTTAAAAAGATCATTTCTCGCAATGTTATGGGGATTTAAATATTGCCAATTAGGGACAATTAACGCACGATGTATTTCGTGCTATTAACGGGTAAATGAAGATTTAATCCGCATTGGAATTTGTTTCAAATTGATATGAGGCTTGATATTTAGTGTATTTATTACTTACCAACATGCGAGATATATCGTATTAATCTTTAAATAGCTTGGGGACGATTTTCAATTATTTTTTTTTTGAAAAATCTTATCAGTTTTTTTAAAGCGAACACTGCTGTATAGACCTTGAAACGCAGTCGGAACATTTGGGGCTTTGCTCTTATACGAGCAGACTTATTATAATTAAGATAGTTTTGTTGAAATATACTATTGGAAATTTTCATATTGGATTCAAAAACGTATGGCTCAATTGCTATGTTAATGTATTTCATGACTATAATTGAGTCATTTTGGTAAACCCCCATGGCTTCAAGAAAATTTGATCACAGGTAAAGTATCCTTTAATTTTGAGCTCAGGACAGCAATACTTTTCGATTGATATTAAAAAATTGCTGGTCAAAAATTTGTCTGGAGAATCTCAAGCAGCTTTTTGAAAGAAATAAATGTGAACGTTTTCACATAATTGATCATGAAAAAAGTATAATACCGAAGATTAATTTATCAAAGGGTTGCCTCGATTTTTTTGTCTCATACACCGAGAATTTCATTTTTGCCATGAGGTTACAATAAGCTTCTTGACATGTGAAATAGATATATGTGAGTCATAATCCGCTAAAAAACGATCTTAAAATATTTTTGTTTAAATATCAAAAATCTCGTTTATAGAAAAATTGCAGAAAATGACAAATAGCTGTAGAATGAAAGTTGTTATAAAATGAAACAAGAGTTACTTGCTATTCTATAGCGCTGAACTTTCCGATAACAATTACTGATGCAAAAAATATTTTAAAAAAGAAAGAACGAAAGTCTTTTTATGCTCCTGGGTAACAACTGATAGCTAGATCAGTACAAACTGCCAAGGGCTTTATCAATCCACGATTGTTTTTAGTCTGATATGATAGTAGTGCCGTGGCCAATTGATAAAGCGCGTGGCTCTCTACATGATCACACAGGGTTTCCAATGTCTTCCGCCTCCTCAAGGTGGCAAAGCCTCCCCCAGTATGACCCTTAAGTGATTAGAGCCGGGTTCTAATAAGTATGAAATATTTGATACGATATATCATTCGACCCCTATTTGGTATCTGGTTTTGTGTGGAAAAAAAAATAAAGTTCAAAATAAGCACACCCGAATAAAATGTTCCCAAGAAGAAGCCTCATAGCATTAAAGTGTTTTGGTGTACCTAAGTAATAAAATAAGGTTTCTTGGCAGTTTTAAAGTTGCTTTAACAAACTAAAATTTGTCTGGTTTGCTTTTTATATTTCCCGTTATCAGTAAAAAAACGCCAAATATCCGAACGCATGAATTTTTCTCTTCTAAGTCAGGAGCAAGGTGTTCTTGAAACTGTGCTACGATGACTGTTTAAGAACTTGGAAGGACACTAAAAGAAAAAGATAATTATTAATTGAGGTTTTTCATATGTGTCGCTTTTGAACTCGCACGCAAAAAATAATGCTGCACTCGTTGAAAAAAAAACCGATTCAAAAGAAGCAAGTGCGTAGCGTCACCAAGCAATTAGATATTTCCATTTGTTCAAAAATTTAAGGTACGCAAATGACTATTTTAGTTAACCGAATTTTTTATCAATGTCGTTAGAAATTTTTGGTTAATTGAGTTAAGACGATTGGAAATTGGAAATTTTAGCGCCGGTGATAGTGAGCGCGACTAAATTTCATGATCCATAAATTTGATCAAATTTTTAATTTTGGACCCCATTTTTTCCAACAATTTTGTTAATTGCTTTTTTAACTAAATTATTTTTTCCGAAATTTTTCCAGCATCCAAAAAAACGCAAAGTTATCAGATGCAATAATTTTCTCCAGATAAGTCATAACATTAAATTTTGCTCTAATCAGTCGAATGAGCTACTCTTAAGTTAACTTTTGTAGACTATTTGTATATATAAATAAATGGTAAACTTTAAGGCAAAATTTAATCCCAATTCTTTTTTCCCATTACTTAATTTGGTAAGGCTCTATAGTTGGTCTGATTTCTGAATTTTAATACAGAAGTCAAGCTTCAGTTCCCTCTAAAACTGCGTTTTCGCCTTAAGTCATTTATTGTTCACAAATTAGTCGTGAAACATTTTTTATTTCACTTTTTCCCATCTGACTTTTAAAATGAGTTGTTAAATTAGGCTTTAACGAAAACTAAGACTAAAAGTTTCTCATTTCTAAACGGCTTTTACGAGCAGAAACTCCTGTGATAATTGAATTTTTGTTAATGCGCACTTTTTTCACCGCTTGATTTTGCCGTAAAATTCATTTAAAAGCGGTGTTTATAGCAAAAAAAGGCGGCCTCCCGAGTTTTTTGCAACAATTAATAGTTTTTTTTTCAATTTAAATACAAAAAGCTGCAGTAGGGGACGCAATAATTGAGAATTTTTTCTGTTATATAAAATTTTCTGCTATTTATGATTTATACTTATCATATTTAGATGTTTTTATTAACTCTAAAATAGCGAAGAAAATTACCTCCAAGTTTTTTAATTGCTATTATTGGCGTCTGTAATTTTTAACGTGCGTTTTTTCAGACTAGTATTGTTACTATTATAATAATAGTCTAATATATCCAATATATTGTCTATTATTATCACCATCATCAGGTAGTGGTATAAAATGAACTCCGAAATTGAAGTCGCACTACCTTACAAGAAGAAGCTGTGTAGTAACTTCACGAAAGGGTCTTGCATCGCCGGACAAGACTGTACGTTTGCTCACGGACAACGAGAACTGAGGAGTTTTGAGAACCCAATCTACAAATCGATGCTGTGTACTTCGTACGAACAGGGAGGTATGTAATACTTCTGAACCAAGCTTCTTTTATTGATAGTTCGCGTAATTGACGAGACTGTCCTAGGACTTGATTCAATTGATACTTTTTGTTTTAAACCTGAGCTCGTTTAGCTTTAACCAATGAGTTCCCCCACCCCCATTTTAGCCATAACTTATTGGGCCCAAAAAAATCCTTACGGTGGCTATAATTATCTAGACCGAAGGCTTATAATAGAAAAGTAATGATTTCGATCGTTATCAGATGGTACAGCTGAGATGAGTTTCATTTTATGAGCTAAACCTCTGTTTTCTTGTTGTTGCAGGTATTTGTCAGATGGGCAATGACTGTCTGCTGGCGCATGGGGAGGGGGAACTGAGGGCTGATGACGTTGTCACCTCAATGGGCGGGGCGAGTCAGGATGAGAATGTTCCCCCTGTGGGGGCAAAAGGAGGTCAAACTGGACAAACGAAGAAGGGACAGTACAAGGTTAGAATTATTTCTTTAATGCAATATTTTTTGGCTTATCCATTTTTGATTACCGTGTTTCAAGAGGTTCCATTAATAGTTATACCCTGAAAAGCTATTTTTATTACACTTGCGGTGGCAAATGTTTAATTGGAACTATTAGTTTTATAATTCTTGAAATCCCTGTGGTATAAGTTTCAATTCTTGGCAGCGAAAAATTCAACCTCCAAAATTTTATTTGATTATCGAATTAATTTTTAATATTTTTAAGAGTGCTCTATGCATCCACTTCGTGAAACACGGCAGCTGCAACATGGACACTAACTGTCAGTTTGCCCACGGGAAGGAAGAACTAACCAACACTTCTCCACCAGACACAAATGACCCCAAATACAAGACTAAATTGTGCATCCCATTCGAACAGGAGAATTTCTGTCCTAATGGGGACTACTGTGTGTTTGCCCATGGAAATGGAGAGCTCAAAAGCTTACCCGAGGTTTGAAATATTTTAAACGAGCATCAGGCGTTTTTCGCTGCTCTTTTTATGTTAATGTTTTTTGTTACCTTAGGCTCAAAATTGACCTCAAAAAATGCTTGTCAACCAGAGATGCCTGATTAATGTTTTCATTTTATCACACTTGTTTGCCCTATTTTCCCAGTTCCTTTTGAGTTCCTAATGTTCTCTGAAAGGAGAATATAATCTTGGAAATCCTAGAAGTTAATATGTTGTTTGGTACTTTCATAAATTACATTCTTGGACAGAATTTATTTCAAATTCAGGGTTTTAGTCTTTAAAATGCCTGTTTTCGGTGTCCATTTTGGACATAATTTGCTACGAAATTCAGTGAAATCTTTAATTAGACCAAGAGCAAATGATCAGAACTACCCTCTATGAAACTATCAATATTTGGTTTCAATGACTTACCAATGTTATGCGGATCTGATCATTACAGTTGTTCTCAATTGCGCTAAGTTTTGAACTTTGCATGAAAAAGTAAGAAAAGTCCGAGCTTAGTAAAATTTCACACTGATTGTTTCTCGCTGAGAATGTTTCGCGTCGCTTGAACAATTTTTTTACTCCGGTCATTCAAGAAATAATTCAGTACGATGCAAAACTTAGTGCAGATGAGGAAAACTGGCATTTTCAGACCTGGCAATTACATAGGTAATTCATTGAAACCAAATTTTACCTAATAAAACCAACAGATAGTTTCATAGATGGTAGCTCTGATCATTTGCTCTTGGTCCATATAAAAGTTTCACTGAATTTCGTAGAAAATGTTGTCCAAAATGAACACCGAAAGCAGACGTTTTAGAGACTAATATCCTGAATTTTGGCTTTACTTTGTCCACTAGTGTAGTTGTTCCAACCATTTAAAAAATGCGGTAGAACTTAGTATTCGGGTGTGATTTAGTTTTTTTTGCTTTTTTCACGCAAAATCAGGTACCACAAATAAGCATCGGAATATGTCGAATTATATAAAATATTAAAGCCCTCTCAGTCGTGATTCGAACGATATTAAAATATTCGGTGTGGAGAAAAATTGGCTTGAAATTTTTGATTTTTGTCTAATTTGCTGCTATTAAGGTCAGCGTGCAGGCTTACAATAGCTTATTTACGCTTAATTTAAGACGTGAAAGCCTAGTTATGCTCAAGAAAAGTTAGTATTTTGTGTTGCTAGCGCCATTTTGGGAATATTTTTTTGTTCATTTTTGTCTTTTTTTTTGCAAACTGCTTCCAAGTGGCCTATTCAGCTATGACTGTCGAATATGCCTAATTTCTTTTTTTTTCGTTCAGAATTGTTTTTATTACACCACTCAGAGAAAACAACACTATTGGAAAAAATGTTGTATTTTTGTGTAGACTATCATCGGAACATTTTGTGGTATTTGCAGTGTAACCTGTAACCGGCTATCCTTGTTTATCATTTTGATTAGGATGACAAGAAGGGCAAGGCAGCTGCTCTTTACAAGACTAGTCTGTGCAACAACTTCATTAACCTAGGACTGTGCCCCAGTGGGAAGAACTGCTCGTTTGCGCATGGGAAGTATGAACTGAGACCCATCGGATTTGACGGTAAATTTTTGTACATTTTGCCTAATGCCATTGTTGTTCCGACCATTGAAAATGGGGAGGAACTTTGGATTCAGGTGTATTTTTTGTTTTTTTTCCGCGTAAAATCAGCTACCACAATTAATCATCGGACAGGGTTAAGTGGTATATCATATTAAAGCCCTTTCGAGACTTTCAAAATTTTCAATTTTTTTCCTCGCAGTGTCGAGAAAAACCGGTTTGAAATTTTTGATTTTTGGCCTAATTTTGAGCTAATTACTAAGGTAGTTAGTAATTGCAATAGCTTATTTAAGCTTAATTTATGCCGTGAAAACTTATTCTTACTAAATAGCGCAATTTTGGTAATAAAAAAATTGAAAATTCAAAAAATCTCCGCAGAATTTTTATTTCGTTTTCCAGTCATTCTTCTTCATAAACTGTTTTGCAATTGACGTATTTTACTATGGTTCTGAAATATGCTCAAGTTCTATTTTTTCCGTCAGATTTTTTATCACAACATGCAGAAAAAAACGACTTCAATTTGAGAAAACATTTTGTATTTTTTTAAGACTGTGATAATGCGCTAATTGCTCAGTAACCGGCTACACTTTTTTCATAATTGTTTCCTGCATAATTTTGAATTGTGTTTCTTACTAAGAGTAATGAACTTAGTGAAGACTCTTATATTGTTCTTGCTGTTTTTTTGTTTGTTTTAAAAGTCTCTAATAACTACAGATGTGCATTCATACATATTGATGCATTTATGAATGCACTCAGCTATATATGCATTTTTTGAGTTCAATTGAAATTCATCTGCTGAAAGTGACGTAAATAGCACTCTCCAACTACATACGAACGTGGAAATGGTGCGAAACAACGTGAACGATTTCTAGTTTCGGAAGTGGAGTTTTACTTTAGATTTCAAGCAGAATAAAAATCTTACCTATTGATCCAGTTTTCTCTATTTGGGTTCATGTTATCAAAAAAGGCGCCAATCATAATTTATTCTAGAAATTCAAAGAGCTTAAAGGGTATCTACTTTTTCTTTGAAGTTCGAAAGTTGAGATTTTGTCAACAAAGTCAGTGTTTTTATGTTTACTTGTATTCATTACTCTTTTCCAGTCTTCGATTGGCTATGTTTTATAATTATCGTGTCTTGTTTGAATTTGTGTTCTGCTTTCATTTTGACAAACTCGTTAAGAGATCAACCCTTTTTCGATTTTCTTGCCCTAATTGATTTGTTCTTTGTTGATGGTCGTAAGCATCGTTGTACAGGCGATTTCGAGGCAAAGATATCCGAGAACCCCAAATGGAAATGTCTAATGTGTAACATCTATGTTCAAACGGGTCACTGCAATCGAGTCAACTGCGACTTCGCTCATGGCGAGCAAGAACTGAGAAACGAGTATCCTGACAACACGAAGCCAATGAAAGTGAACTACAAGACAGTTTTGTGCAATAACTTCAAATCGAGAGGATACTGCTTCCACGAAGACGCCTGTAATTTTGCGCATGGAGATCAAGAGCTGAACACGATCAAAGGGATCTTTTTAATCTTCCGAAAACTAAGATTTTTAAATTACAATTAACTCTCCGACAAATGTATACTTTCTTGTACCTCGGATAAAACTCGAAGTTTTTACCATGATGCTACTTGTTGAAGTTCTGTTTTTAACTCAGTGGCTTTTTTTTGTATTGACGCTGTACGTTCAACTTCTGTTTTGACGTAGCGGCTACATTTTAAAGAAAATCGACAATTATTTTCTCAGTAAGGGTAGAAAATTTGGCTAAAATGAAACGAATATTGGCGAAGGAATTAAAAAGAACCCTCTATTAGACGCGGCGAGTACTCTTAAACTGATGCGGGATGGAAGCGCACTCAGAAAGAGACCCAAGACTTCGGAGGGTGCGGGCGTATACGGTAGACTTGGTGGCGGTGCCGTAGGTGCGACAGGAGTGACTTCGGCGGCCGAATCATCGTCGGCAGACCAGAAATTGTTTGCCGAGTTCCTGGCGTTCAAGAAGTTCAAGCAGCAGAGCGACAGTGCTGTTGCAGCAGGTAGTTCTTTATAAGCAATTTGAGTTGATTTAAATACATGTTCAACGATCTTGACTGTTTTTGATGTAAATTCATTACAATCTAAAAACCAATCAGATCTCTGAGCTTTAAACTTACTTCATTCAATGAAAAAAAATATCATAAGGCTTCAATGCGTAGAAGTATGCATATGGCTTCTACCAACTTTTGCACCATTTTCATGGTCCGTTAATCGCTAAGTACTCGATAAGTCTAATGTTAACAGCTCCTCCAGCTCCGACTCCGGCCCAGTACTACAACTCCACTCCCCAATCTGCAATGAACTCGACTATCTCCTCATACTACACTTCGATTCTCCCGGGCCCTACTGAAGTATCTAATCATCAGAGCCAGAACCAAGGGCTCTACCATGCGGGTGGCTTCCGAAAGCTGACACAGACTGCTCCTGCTACTCAGAATCCGAATAATCAGAATGGATTCATGGAGCGACAAAGGCTTCAGTTTAGAGGGCAGCAGGCACAGCAGCCAGAGTTTGCTTATTGAGATGCACTTGGCTAAAAAAAACTTGCGAGTTTGCTTATGGAGATGCACTTGGCATAATATTTTTTGAGAAGCTTTTACTGAGTTCGGAAGAATCAAAGCTATACTATGTGCAATATAAACTCTATCATTGATTAAGTCATGATTTAGCTCCTGAAAATGTACCATTCGATTATGTACTATTGTATGTAATCTCTATAAATGCATCTAAATGTTGTATAAATTACTAATTTTGGTGTATATTTTATCTGTATGTTTTATTAAATGTTAATAATATACCTTTTTGGCGATTGAATGAAAACTTAGGAAAGCAAAATTTGCCACAGCAAATCGCACTTGCGTTTACGATTTAAGAGTCAATGAACGAAAAGAAGACACTTATCACGGTTACAAAAGATACGGTTACTTGAGATTTTTTCCAAAAAAACAAGTCAGTGTTTTTTCTTTAATTGTATTCGCTGACTCTTTTCCAACTGTCGGTTGGCTACGTTAAATTTTTTTTTAAAAGTTTTGTTTGCGTTCATTGACTCTCTTCCAACTCTCTCTTGACTATGTTTTCGAAAAACTAGTCAATTTTTTGGGCGTTCTTTGACTCTTTTTCCAATTGCCTGTTGGCTATGTACTAAAATCTCAGTTCAATTTCACATGCTAGAGTGAAGGATTATTATGCTCTTGAATTGCGAAAGAACCAATGGCGCAAAAAAGTGATTTATTTTCAGTTTTGAAAGTAGGTTTCGAATTTGAAGTTTCCCAGCAGAATTTAAATTACCTTATAAGTCGAAAAGTGTGTAATCTCTTCCTAAGTTCAGGGTCATGTAATTGGAAACAAAACCTTTATCTGCTCAGCAACTTTTAGAAATCTGCAAAAAATTGAGCTTGCTTTCTTGAAACTTAGATTCCTTCTTGCTTAATTTAGTAGTATTCTAAAGCGCTTCCTTGAGGTTCCTGATGTTTGGGTCCCTGAATTTTTTTTCTCAAAGACAACAACCGATTTTCAAAAAAATTGAGACCAGCGGTCAAACAGGCGGCTCCTTTATGTGCCTGCATATTTTGCTAGTCTGTATTTATTTTACCCCACGTTCTCTGGCCTTCGAAATTTTTGGAAGGGGTATTTTGACCTATTTGTTTTTGATTTTTTTTCATTTTCTCAAATATTAAATGAGAAAATCTGAAATGAACGTTTTAAGCAAAATAACAAATCATGGGGACTCTCCTTCTCAGGCGGCTATTTCCTATTCTGGTAGGAAAAAAAAGTATTGCCTCAATTTTTCTTAAAAACTACCCTGCCAAATCGAAGATTAAGGGTTGAACCGAAACAAAAAAAAAACAGTCATGCGCGTCTTCTTTATTAAGCGGCTCTGCCCGGTGTTTTGAAAAAAAAATAAGTCCTTTGAAAATGTCCAATTTTTCAAATTTTGAACGTTTTTTGGCAATTTAATTTTTTTTTCAAGAAAATCCGCTTATTCTGAGGTTGTTACTGCAATCACACTAGCTGCTTTGATTTTGACTATTTAATATACTTCATCCTATTTATTTTCAAGAAAAACCGATAATGTTTAAGCAAAAATTCATTTTTTTTTTGAAATTTTGACTGTTTTTTTTAGAAACTTCAATTTTTTTTTCACGAAAATGACTAGCTAAATCTGGTATTAAGGTTTCAATCTAAAAATCAGTGCGTGAAAGTCTTCACTGCATAAGATGCTATTCCCATGTTTTAATTCAGAAAAGTTAATGGACTTAGGAAAAATTAAAGTTTTTAACATTTGATTGTTTCTAGTTTGATTGAATCTTTCTTGGTATCTTTTTTCACATTTTTCGAAAACTAAAAAAGAATTCAGTTGAAAGTTCTTAAAACTTTGAAAATTACGCTCTTCGGTATGAGTAAAATTGAAGATGTAAACATGAAAACAGTGCATCCAGAATTAGCTGGCCCTCAAGTTTACCGCCAAGCGACCGTGGTGCAAATTTGAGGACGTGAGACTCCTAATCAACAGGTGGGTGATAAATCCTGAACCTTGAAATAGATTTTTTGGTCAAATTTTTGCTGCATAAAGTATTAAGTAAAGTTAATAGTGGTCGTAGATCAGTTGTGAGAACGTGTTACTTCTCATTTCAGCAAAAAAATTACTAAGGTGTATTTTTAATCTCCTTTTTCCTGATTTCCTTTTGTTTTGCCTGTTCAGAGATCTTTTTTGCATTTTCCTCACTTGTGTTTGCGAAGGGCAGTATCGCCTCTGTGTAGATATTTATGATTTTTTCTCAAATGATTTCTTAAATTTTTTTAAATCATGATTTTTGTCATTATGATTTTTTTCATTATGTGTTAGCTGATAAAACTTCAGTATTATTCTTCTCGCTGTTCGTATTTTGGTTTTCGATTTCAGCTCGTACGGTTTCATTCATGTATGAAAATTTTGTGTGTGTGTGTGTGTGTGTGTGTATGTGTGTGTGTGTGGATGCGTTCATCTTTCTAGTTTCGAATTCTACTTATTTGGTTGAGTTCCTTTTGATCAATTCAAAAAGTCACTGGTTTTTTGGAATATTTTAATTCAATCAAATAATTAACAAGATTTTTTTGAAAAAAAAAAATGTTATCGTGGAACCTGATGAAGTAGTCGGCATCCCGTCATTGCTTACGCAAAATCATCACAATTTCAAAAGAATAAATCAATTTTTTGGCATTTTTGCGACTTTAAACCAGTTCGTAGTCGAAAGTAGGTCGTATATATGGGTTCCAAATGAGCAGCTGCCTGACATGATTGAATATTTGATACATCCATTTTTGATTATCATTAGTATCGCCATAAACATACGTGTTTGATGCGTGTTGATGTTGAAAATTGTTTCGAAAATTGGGTTTGCTATCCATTAACCACTGAATATATCATTAGAACACATGGATACTACTAGACGTATAGGTTCCGAATTGAGAAGATCTTCCCGGACAAGCTGATTTTTAACAATAGGTATTACAATTGAATTGCTTTTTCACTTCGTTTAAGTATCCAACAGGTAACTTTTTTTGGGATTCTTGACATAAAGTGTGACTCAGACACTGTGTAAATTTCGCATAAACTGACGCATGTCTTATTTGAACCGAGAACTTTGAAGAATCAACTTGGTTTACCAGACCAAGTTCTGGTTTTGACGAGTGAGTTGCATTTTTAGCTTGCTATTAGGGATAATTAAGTGGCAAAAAATCGACATTGGCAAATAAACAACAGTTAGTTTTCTCTAAAAACGACAATTTTTAGATGTTTTTTTTCCACTGCAGGCATCTATTTGGTTTTTTGTCCTGATCAAACGACGAAGTATCTACTTCATTGGAATTAACTTGGGCTAATTTAGCATTACGGAACCTTCGGTATGAGACTGCTCCGTCTCAGGAAAAGGTCATTGAGCGTATAATTTGTTAGAAGTGTGGACAGCTTCATTGTTCAATATGACAGCGCGATTGGAGAAAACCGAGTGTAAAATATTGGTACAGAGTGCAACTTTTGAATTATTTGGAATATTTCTTCAGCTGCAAAATTATTACCGTTACTTTCATTATTGCTTCAATTTTCTAGTCCAAATTCTGCAAACCTAAATAAAGTTGCGATCGTTATTCAACAAAAATTATACCACTGTAGCATATCGGAAATAATGGGAAGTGTCTTCTGTTCATATGAAATCTTAAATGTCACGAGCGCTTCGGTTATTTTGAAATTGTCGAGATTTGATGGGTTTGCCGCTTCGAGAATTTCCATACTTAGTACGGAATTTTTTTAAGTATCAGGTTTTCATTTAGCAGGTTTTTGTTTCTTTGCATTAGGTGACCGGCTGATTCAAGATGCTGGTTTTCTTGAAGTGGTCTTTTTCTGTACGGGAGGTCCTCCATCTATTTGTTTTATTTCCGCTGTTAATGAAGCTGCTCGTTTGTCCGCTCTCTTCACGCTTTCTGTTTCCATTATATCCAAAACTTCTGGCTACATGTTTGCAACAAAGTCTTTGCCAATTCATTTGGCGGATCGTATAACGTACTTGGGTAGTTGTAGTTGAATAAAATCGCATAGTGAGCTGCCCTGAAAGCTTGCGATCCGTGATCACTATCACGTTGTCTCGCAGAATCGCGAAAATATTTGCTCAGAGCTTGTTGCTGATGACAGCAACCGTCCATAAAGAATTTTTTTTTAAAAATTGACTTGAAAAGATGTTGTCTTCAGTATTTCTCATCTTGTAGAATTTATTCTGCCTGTGAATTTTAAGAAGTATTAACAATTTTTATAGATCTCATCATTGAATCACTGATGGAAACTCTGACAAAAAGGTGTATCCCATGATGCAAAATGGACCTGATCAATTAGCTGAATTTTTCGGTTGATTTAAGGAATTTTGTTTGGTTATCAAACTTAGTACGGGTTTTTTGTCACGTCGGAGGGCACCATTCCAATGCAATTTTGCTACTTCCATACACCAAATTTCGTTTATATCATGAGCAAATACCGGTAGTCGTGTAAATGCTTGTCTTTTTGGATCATAAAACTTTGTGTAGGCCGCCTTACTTCTTCAATGTCACACCAGTTCAAATTTGAAGCTTGCTCTAAGTTTCTTTTGGAACGTAAGCTACTGGGCCATTTGTCCAACATTTCTCCAATAAATTTCATTTAGTTTTCAAAGACCTTTGACCTGCGGAATTAGAATTTTGTCCGAGCATTATAGCGCCCATAAGGTTTTTTAGAACGTTCAACACCACCACTACGATTATATACTTGTTTTTGGTCTTAATTCTGCGTCAATTTGCTCATCTTGTGATATATCAAGCTCGTCTGCTTTTATAGTGTTTAAGATCTTGGTTGGAAATCAAATGGTTTGAAATTGCCAATTCTTTTAGGAGTAAAACTTGGTTTTCTGATGGTTACTGATCTTTTGGAAACTTGTTTTGAAGTCTATTGCGGAAAGAACTGAAAGATATATCAATGTTATGAGATCGAAAACCAAATTTGAGTTCTCATAAATTTTGACAACGCTATTCTTTTCAGTATCAAACGACTGCGTGTCTCATTTGTTTGTTCCACTGACTTCATTCACAAGTAAAATCATTAACTGACCAATTGTTGACGTTAGAAACCTCCTCAGGAGCAATTAAGATAACGGTTTGCTCCTCCTTTTCACTATTATGTGTAGCTGACATTATCAATGATGGGCTGTTTTTTACTGCTCCGTATGTACCGACGAAAATTTGAATTTTCTGTCAGATCGGGTTGATTTGAATTTTTTAATTTGGAGAGACTGATAAGATAGATAACGAAGATTTGCCAGACAAACAATTTCGA